TTTTTTTTTTTTTTTTTTTTTTTTTTTTTTTTTTTTTTACTGCTAGCATGCATTATCAAAAGTAATCGTTCAGGCTCTACATTTAATTAATGTGAGGGCTATCGGTAGCAAGCGCGCGTGTGTCTGAGAGTAGGACTTCTCCTTTATATCCCAGTGTTCTACTAAAATGGTGAATTCTTGGTTGTTTTGAGGAACCTATTATAGTTTGTTTTGAGCTACCTTTAATTTAAATGAGACTAGATATTTTAATAAACTGTATATTACAAATGGTATTTCTGGTGTGTTAAATCATTGTGTGAAAGTTCTTAAAATATTATAAACAAGAATGTAAGTCGATGCTGAAAGAAGTGAAGCTCAGAAGTTAAAAAGGCATAATTTACATGAAAATAAGTCATTCTGTCTCTCTCTTATGTAGATATTCAGAATGCAGAATTTCTCTGTATTTCTAAATGTGTTAATCTGTTTTTCAGACTTTTTCTGTCTTAGAATTTTGTATATTATCCATCACCATAATATAGCTTTTTCAATAAATTAACAAATGGTATGATGCATGTTAAAAAAGCATTACAGTACTGGATTATCTTGAACACTACCTACATAAAAAATGTCATCATCAGTATCGGCATTATTCTACATTCATGTTTATATTTAACACAAATGTTATGTTGAAAAACCCAAAGATTCTTCAAAATTTTCTTGCTTGCTCTGAGTACAAACCTGTGCTGTATTGTACAATTAAAAGGAGGTTGAAATTTCATTAAAAAGTCCAAATAAGTCTGTAAAGTCCTATTACAATTACAGGGTTGTTCATGATGTGAACTATAAAATAATACTGAACCACATGACTGTCTGACCTCCTTTAATGGAACAAGTTGTTAAAACCAGTTCATCATGATTTATTATGAGACTAAAAGAATGTTCTCCATTTGCAATTGCTAACAAAAAAAATCAAATGAGCTCAAGGTTGTAGATGATGTTGTATTGGGCTAGCTAAAAATAAAGTAAATTTTCAGCATTCGCAGTCTTTTTAATAGGTCATTGGATTTAGAGCAAGGTGGCATAGTGTTGATTTAGGTTTTGTAATTTAAATTTAGCAATTAAGAGGGAACTTTATAGAGAGAGGGGAAAAGTTAGTAACAAATGTGGATTTGGAATGCTGTCTGGATTACAAGAATGGGTAAATGAAGCAGCAGAATAAAAAAAATTAACTAAAAAGCAACAAGAAATTCTTACTTATAGTAAACAGATATTTTTGGTAGACTACTAGTAGTACAGTATTGTTATAAAAATCAGTGCCTCAAGATCTGCTTCTCTCAGAGGGGGGGAAAAATGGCTCCTATAAAATCAGACACCAATTCTCAATCCTTTCCATTTAGAATTACTTCTCACTTATTATTTTAAAAAATTAAAAATGCCATGAAGATAAAAAGTAATTGTTTCTGTCTTTTTAATCCACTAGTGTGACACACAACTTCTTGGATTAGTATAATTTGACAGGATTAGAGAAAAATATTAACTTTTTCAATTTGTTTACCTGTACATTTGACAGCACTTTGTATAGTCATTTTCTCTGTATAGTCCGTTCCTAGTTTTGTTCATGTGGGTCTCTTCATATAGCAATAGAGGAGAAGAATATTTTAAAAGTTAGGAAAATCTGATTGCCATCCTAGAAAATTGGCAGGAAGATTTAAGAGCAGGTGTGGTATTTGAACTTTTTAAATGTCTTTAAAATTAATGAGTTTTCAAATTAACAGTGCCCCTTTAATTTCTTAAATCATTATATATCCAACTCGTTTGTGTAGAAGTACATCTTTGTAAATTAAAGAAGCTATTTTCAACAGTGCATTAATAGAACAGGGATTTCAATCTTTCTTTTCCCTTGACCCCCAAACCAGCTCATTTCTTGTCCTGACTCCAACCCTGTAACCTTTTGTGGTCACAGATTTCTAATTAGTATATTGTAAAAATTTAACAGCAAATAAATGCTTCTGAATAAGGAGTAATGAGTATGCCCAATGATGAAAAGAGTTGCAAGATAAGAAGTGAAGGGAGCCTTGATGCATTTCCTTGTACCTCTTTCCTTATGTCTGCAGAAACTTCATTTGAAGAAGGCAAAGTAGCTGGCAGGGAGCTGTGAGCAGTGGGTCCTGGCAGCCAGCTCCACTCTAAATAGCACTTTTCCAAAGTTGAGAGCATAGTGCAGGTGAGAATATAAAAGGTGCAGTGGAGGCAGGGCAGAACAGCAATAAAAAGGGATGGAGTGAGCTTCCCTAGTCCTAGAGGAAGCGAATTACCAAGTAGGCTGAAGCCCTTTTAGGTGGGGAAGATCTTGGGCAACATCCAGGTGCAGCTTGCATTGAGGTTGTGACCCTGTTATTGAGAAATTAGAATAGATGATGGTGTGATGAAAGGACGTTATTGGACTGAATTTGGGATGTTACATGCCCTACCCAAGAGGTGAAAACAAGTGAATTATGCAGCTGTCCTAAATTTATGCCAACAAAGCCTTTAGGCCCCATGCTCCATGTAATCAGGTTTTTTGTGTATCTTCATCTAAATACTCCCCTCCTTAAAATATATATATTTATTTAGAAGTTATTTACAAGGATAGCACCTTTTAGTGCTTGTGGCTATAAAGCCTGATGCTTGTAGTTACCATGTGTCCAACAGTACAGCTCTTGAATATGTGAGTGTCTCAAGCCCAGGGCTCCAGGCACCAAGCACCCTGGTAGGGATGTGGGAACCCGTCGCCTTGTAAGGTTTGACTTAAAAGCTAGAGCCCAGATGGGGAGCTCCTGGCCGTTTGGAGCAGGGCCGGCTTTAGCAAGTGCGGGGCCCGATTCCTGGGGCGGCACTTCGGATTGCCAGCTGGGTGTTGCGGGGCCGTGGGGCTGCCGTGCTCCGGCCGGCGGTCCAGCCAAGAGAGCGGGGCTGCTGCGCTCCGGCTGGGGTCGCGGGGCTGCCGCGGTCCGGCCAGAGCTCCAGCCAGGAGAGCGGGGCCACGGGGCTTGCCGCGCTCCGGCCGGGGTCATGGGGCTATGGGGCTGCCGCGCTCCGGCCGGAGCTCCAGCCGGGAGAGCGGGGCTGGCGGCGCTCCGGCTGCCGCTCTGGCCAGGGGAGCGGGGCCCCCGAAGACAACCGCCGCTGGGGTGAGTGCGCGGGGCCCGATTCCAGGGAATCGGCCTAAAGCCGGCCCTGCATGGGAGAGTCAAAGCCGGTGGCCTGCAGGCTGGGGACCAGCAGCCGCTGCTGAGGTTCAGATGCCGGGCGGGGCGAGAAGCGGCCCATGGTGTACTGGCGGTGGGTTAATTGCTCCAGTGTTGGGGAGGCGCCGGAATCCCTGCGAGGCGTGGGCACGCGGCTGGTGGTGCGTGCGGTACCCGCTGCAGGTGTGACAACACGTATAGCAACCCTCCCGTTTTGCAACTAGGTGCAGTTTCCGTCACGCAACGTGACCATCTGGACTACTGCTCAGGACTTGCTACCGCCTGGTCCATGAGGTTGCGAATCAGGAGGGATGGGGTATGTGGTCAAAAACACTCACGATCTGCTTCCTCCTGGCTAATGTGACAAATTGATCTATTGGATGATTGATGCACGCTGTTTCACTTTTTTGTGTGTGAATATGTGAAAAGGGAGGTAAGGTTTGGGAGTACGGAGCCTGCCACTGAGCCCAAGGTGATACCACTTTCATTTTTTTAATTTACTTTTATAATTTGCATTATACACGTGGACACAAATACAGAGAATAATTTTTTCAAGTAAAAAACATATATTATTATAATCTGGTATATACATTAAAAATGTCTTTTGGTTGCATTATGTTTTGAACAAGAGGCATTTAAACAATTTTTTTTTTTTTTTTGGGTGTGTAAAGGAGTGAACTATGCACATTTTTTGCAGTTGTACTCTTCTCATCTGTCAGGTTTTCTTGATTGGTTCCTTCTGTAATGCAGGGCATATGTGCCCATCTCTTGCAAGAATCACACTGGACCTTTGATAAGTAACAATTAAGAAATGAAATCACAGAAGTTATAATGTTACACATACTTTGCATTCACTCATGCTATTCCTTCCACATGTCAGCATTACCCAACATATGTATGCCTATCAGCATGAAGAAAATGTTTACTGATGTGGAATTTTGACAAGAATCATGATCCTTAGGCAGTTTATGGCATTTATTTCTCATACAATTCTATGTTTCTTACCATCGTGCTATCCTCACTTTCCTTTTTACAGTTGACAAGGTTGCAGTATATGCAGTAGTCCTCCCTGCTTTCTTAAAAATAAATATAGCGTTATGAAATGATGAATACGTTACAACCAACACTGAAAATGCAAATCTTGATTTATGAATTAATGTCAATATTTTAATCCAGTCAATGGTTTGAACATATTTTTCTTTTTTGTGAGTCATATTTTCTCAAATTTTTACTTTAGTGCACCTGTATCTAAAAATGCCAATTTCATTTAACTGGTCGATCAATAGCAATCATTCACCCCCATTCAAATGTTTGTGTACTTAAAGATATTATTGATTCATAGTCACCATTACAGAACCAAACCTGTGAGATATCCCACTTTAGGGGTATTAAGATAACTGTCTGCTATGTGACATAATTCCACTCTTCATGTTATCTTCACATGTGCCTAATGAGTCCACAGTACATGGTAGAAAGTAATTACCTGACTCCTTCATTAGAAGAATTGCTATATGTCTTCTAAATGCAGTATTAGCCTCTTGTGTTGTTTCTACCATACTGATGTCTTTGTGCTGCAAATATGTTTCTGCAAACTAACAACACTGATATTTAGAATAAACATCATAATTACCAGAGGTGAAAGTGGACCGGTTCAGCATACCGGTAAGAACTGGCCACCAGTACCGGCCTGTACACAGCTGACGTTACACTTCCGCTGTGGCAGTGCTTTATGCTTTAACGTCGCTGCCCCCTTTAGCTCCCCCCTCCCCCCGCATCAGCGGCCGTGCCATAGGGTCCAGCAATGCTGTTGGATGCTCCTGGCAGGGCTGCCGACAGTGGGGGAGCAAAAGGGGCCCTGGGTTCCTGCAATTTACAAGGGCCTGGTGCTCCTGGCCACTGCAGCAGCAGCTGTCAGGAAGGGCTGGCTGGTGGAATCTGGCCCCCCCAGCACCGCACCTTCTGCCAGAGACCCCATCCCTTCTGGGGCCCACAAGCCCACCCCACACACCTTGGCAGGGACGCTGGTGTAGTGCCCACTGGTAATCTCTGGCATTTACTTTCACCCTGGATAATTACACATACATAACAAACGATAATGGCAATTTGGTATTCAATACCTTTAAGATGAGTGGTCCGCAGTTGTGGCCATCACTTTGTCTGGGATGCTGAACAATTTTACTCTTCCAATCAGATGAGGATTTGCTAGTTAATCGTTTGATGAAGTTTCTGAAATTTTTAGAGAGTACATTAGCGGACTGCATAAATGAGCTTTTCTTTCTTCCCCCCAACCCCCTTCCGGTTTCTGGACATAGATACAAATCCATTCTATCTCTTTTTAATTAATGATTGAAATGACTTATTGCTCACATATATACACACTTGCTTTCATATTATTGTCTCACTCTTACACAATGTATCACCTGATTTGCTGTGCCCCATTTTGATAACAGATTCTCAATCATGCAACATGCTACTGTTTCGTGTCCACATTCTGTGAAGTCGTTTCCCAGAGTCAAATCACACAAGTTCACTCAAAGTCCGTTACTAGGCATATTCAGTACAAGTACATGCTGTTTCAATTTTTATTTGTAGCTGACAGGAAGATATTAGTCTCACTATTGTTACATTCCCTTTAAAAAAAAAATGTCAATGGAACATTCATGTCCACTGTAAAAGTAAGTATCTAATAAATCACCTCCAATTCCTCAGGCATGTTCTTTCATATCTCATCTCATCACACAAGGGGTCAATTATTAACAATTCCTTTTTTTCCATCAAGGCTATCTGTAAGTACCAATATAATTTGTGAATATATTTACAATGTGATTATTTCAAAAATTTTATACTGATTTATCAAAAATCATTATGCAATTAACATATTCTCGTTTGTAATGTCTCAGGCCTTGGCTACACTTGGGAATTCACAGCGCTGCTGCGGCAGCGCTGTGAATTCCCAAGTGTAGTCGCGCCGCCAGCGCTGCGAGAGCTCTCTCGCAGCGCTGTATGTACTCCACCTCTCCAAGGGGAGTAGCTTGCAGCGCTGCGAGTGAGCGTGCAGCACTGCAGGCGCTGATTACACTGGCGCTTTACAGCGCTGCACTCGCTGCGCTCGGGGGGGGCGTTTTCACACCCCTGAGCGCAGCAAGTTGCACCGCTGTACAGCGCCAGTGTAGCCAAGGCCTCAGTAACACACAAGAGAAAAGCATATTGTGAAATCATTGATCAATTCATTACAGAATCTATTCTTCCAAGTTACATTAACAACGTAACTTGACAGTAGCATTTTATTTTTAACATTCACATTCTACTTTCCTTTGCATGCCCTGAACTCACTGAAAACCCGCAACACGGGAAATTATATCACTGCTACTATAGTTGTGTTACAAATCGCTTATTTAATACCACATTTATTGCCCATAACCCAGAAGTACAATACAAAACATCTTACCGCAAGAACCCAATGACCTGGTGTGTGGTAAGGAAGCAATAATATATCATTTTGAAGTAATTCACTCTGTATTTATTTAAAAAAAAAAAATAGAAATGCAATTATAGTTTCCAGTGAAGCAAACCATGAAATGTACACTATACTGTATTTCCCAATTTCATTACATGTATTACTATTAGAGTACTCCTCCACATCAAACATAGCATTGTATTTGCTGTTTCACACTGTGTTTAACTCACTGAATGAAATTGTACTTTGCTCATGCTATGTATGAAAGTGTGTTAGCATATACCTTCACTTTCATTTGTGGAGCTCTGCCTGAGAGAATGACAGTGGAAACTACTGATGAGATGGCCCCCCGCAATGGCTCCTCCGGAGTTCGGCCATGCTGCCCGCCCTCCCCCTTGCCTGCAGGAGCCCAGCGCCGGCCTGGCAGGCGCCGCTTTTGAAAAATGTGCTGAGGGGAAGCGGCTGCTTCCCCTGAACACCCCTAGCTACGCTCCTGCATTGAGCATGAAATGAGCTTTAACAATATGTTGTGACTACTTACATTAAAGAAATCCATTCTACCTTGGTTTAGGAGAGAGACCACTGATTGACCAATAAGAATCTGGTGTTGCAGATCCCCATAGTGCAATTATTTTTTCTTCTCCAGTGTCAGTGCAGCTTTTATTTTGGTGAGTTTTGCACACAGATGCAGAAATGTGGACTTGCGCATCCAAAAATTCTGCAGCCACTGGTCATGAGCCCAAGCCTTCATTGTTGTAGAAGATTTTTGCCCTTGGGAAGGATGTAAGATGACACCATATAATACACTTACTGAATATTTGTGAATCAGCTTCTACACCCAAGCAATGACATGTGAACAGTGACATGGGACTGTAAGGGCTGGATTCACAGGCAAGATAAATGCAGCAAAAGGCAATCCTAAAATTTGTGAACTGTTATGAGACTTCACATAGACAAATAGTTGAGAGACTCTTTTAAATACTCAAAATGTGTGACGCAGAGTTTGATGGAATGTAGGGAAATTCTTTCACTGCATCAAGTCTCCTGTAGCTGTAAAGTAGCACCGGGACAGCAGGTTTTTATATTTTTTGGTGGCATCCAGAAAAAGTCCAAGGGAGTTTTGCTGTGGGAGGGGGCTTGGGGTCTGTACTGGGTTTACAATGGTGCCAATGGCGCCGTGGCACCAGGCCCACCCTGGGAAGGGGCCCATTACAGACCCCTGTAACCCATCCACATAGCTGGGTCTGGCCCCTCGTCTGGGGCAGTCCAGCACACAGGCCTTGCTGTCTTTTCACTGCAGACTTTGATCTTGGTGACAAATCTGTAGAGAATTATGAAACTGGTCTGGGGGAGATAATGTCTCACTATAAAACACTGGAAAGCTGTAAAAAAGTTGAAGGCTACTATACACTGGCATTGATCTATGTGCAGAACTCTCATGGACATCACTGGTTTTGTGCAAAAATTTAAGATAGAATGTTAGACATTTTTTTTTTTTAAAGAGAGAAATACTTTAGTGCACTCTTTTATACATAAAGTGTACTCATTTCCATGAGACCCAGAAGTGTGACAGATACTGTGGATCAGATACAGGGCTGTATCTAAACTGTGCTTAGTGCAGTTTGTGAAGGAAAGCGGGGTAAAGGTGCTTTAAGGTGCCAGTTATGTGTCCTGGGTCTCACTGCTGACTAGCTGCAGACCCAGTGCTCAGAATTAAGCAGTGTTCTCAGGGCTAATGTACTCTATACTAGTTTACAATTGCCTGCTAAATGCTTCAGCCATGCCACCTTTTCACTTAGCTATATCCTGAATAGTGGTGACTGGGAATGGGGGCGGGGGGGGGGGGGCGGGGAGTGTAGCAGATGCCAATTTGAGGTGAATATTCTCTTGGCCAGATTCTGCTGGGTTTATGGTGCTTTGTGCTATGGACTGGAGCAAAGTGGCTGGTGAATAACCAAGAATCTGGTTAATAATTATTCTCTAAATTCAGCTTTCTTCTTTCTCTCTCTGTACATTATCACTAATTCAAAATAGTAGTGTGCAAGTTGACTGGATAATGGTAATAGCATAATCTCTTGTTATAACATTGTAAATCCTACTACCTGATTTTTATATTAAACACTTACTATACATGATACAATAAATCTGACAGAAACAAAACCCTAGGAAAAGTTTATTCTTTCTGTGTCTTATTTAAAGTTTTCCAGTAATCTCCTCTTGCTTCAGAATGCCTCATGCGGCACTCATACTGTTTGCAATAGGATTCAACCTGTGGCTTGGCTGCTGAGTCTTTACTGCTTCCTGAAGAGCTGGGAGCTCAATATTCATCTCAAATAGATACTATATGCAGAAGCACAACTCAGTATAGGGGGTGGGGGGGGGGAGAGAATTATTGACCTTTGTGCATATGTAATGGTGTTTGGTGTTTGTAAGGCAAGGTATAATAATCACACTTCCAAATTGCAATGAACTGTGGAAAAGTTCCTGTTTGGTGTGAGAGATGTTACTTATACCTGTGTTGTAGAGATGTCTTCTGTTTTTAAAAAGAAACCATGAATAAAGCTACTTTAAGGGAAATTACTGCTTTCTCCAACACCGAAGAGCTATGAGATCTTTGCTCACCAATTCTCATAAAACTTGTATTTGTCATGCCTTTTTGGTGACTTTAGGATTACGATCTATTATGAATAAAGTACATTTCATTGATTGATTTTAAAATGAAATTAGTAACTGGAAAAAATGGCCAGTATTTTTTTTTAATCCTGTGACAATTATAAACTACTGTATTCTGTCATTTACTTTCTAGAATCGAAAGTATATCTAAGTATAATCTAAAGTTCTCCTGCAAAATGCCGGCTGTGCAAACCCTTCTGTGGCTGGATCATTCTTGTGTTTTTATTTTAGGTACAAAATAAATATGTATAACGAATTTAAAAGTATGTAATTAGTAATTTGATATGTCGGGTGGTGCCTTTTTTTATGTGTTCGCTCCCCTGATGTTAGAACCTGGCTATGCCACTGCTGTAGGGGGCTCATTACCCAGCAGCTGGGGGCCACCATGCGGGCTCGGCAGGGCTGCTGGCCACGGGGCCAATGGGTGTGGGTGGGCTGGGTGGGATCTCGGGAGTCACGTCCCAGGGATCTGCCCCGCTCCCCAGCACTGCTCCAGCTCTGAGCTGTCTCCACTGCCTGGGACCTGTAGGGCCCCACCTGCCTCCCCGGGGGAAGAGCCACCTGGGACTGGTGCAGAGGCTGGGCCAGTCTCAGCCAGTCACAGGGGAGTTGGGGGGAGGGGAGGCTCAGCTGGGTCCTGCCAGGCATGTGGGTCCTGAGGGAGCCTGGTAGGCTCTGCTCCTGCTCCAGCCTGGCTGATCTCACCACTCCTAAGGGGCCGGAGTTATCCTGCCCCAGGACCAGCTCTGGGTGTGCTGCCGGCTCAGCCTGGCAGACACAGTCACCGCCCATCAGGGCCGGCTACTGTGGCCGGGGATTAGGGTGTGGGAGAGTAGGTCTCTAGTGGGTTTGGGAGGGTGCTGGGCGGGGGTTGGGGTGGGGAGATCTGTGTGTGTCGAGGCGCTGGGAAGTGGGGGGGGTCTGTGCGGGGCAATGTGCAGTTGTGGCGTTGGGGGGCACTGGGCAGTGAGGGGATCTGGGGGGGGTCTCTGGGCGGGGAGGTGTGGGGCACTGTGCAGTTGTGGGAGGGTTATGGGGGGTATTCAGCTAGGGGGGCACTGGGCAGTGAGAGGATCTGTGGGGGGGTTCTGAGTAGGTGGGGGAGTGGTCTGTGGGAGGGGGGTTTGTGGGGGTGGTGTGGCACTGGGCATAGGGAGTCAGAGGGGTGCTGGGCAGGGGAGTAGCATGGTGCAGCATGGGCCCGCCCCCAAGGGGAAGAAGCGCCGTGGCAGCGCAGGGCCGGGCTGGCCAGTGTGCATCTGGCAGCTCCCGGTTTGTAAACAGTGTCCTTGTACTGGGCTGGGTGGAGCGGGGCTGTCCCTGCCGTGCCATGACCCGTCTCCCATTGCCCCCGGCCAGCCCCTCACTCTGAGGACTCTTCCCCCCTGCCCCATGTCCCCATTTTCCCCATGAGGGCCCACAAATATGTTTAGCACTGGGCCCATAAAAGGTTAATCCGGCTCTTTTTGGGGTGCAGGCTCTGGGATGGAGTTGGGGTGCAGGAGGGTTGCAGGCTATGGGGAGTTTGCGTGAGGGGTGCAGGCTCTGACCTGGGGCAGGGGATTGGGGTACAGGAGGGGGTGCGGACATGTGGGCTCTGGGAGGGAGTTAGCAACTCAGCCCGTTATATAAGAGAAAGGAGCTGCAGTGATTTCATATAGACATAGAAACTGATAGAAGACACTTTTACATATTCAAAATGTGAGAGGCAGAGTTTGAGGGAGGGGGTGTCTGTACAATATTTCACCGCATTCAGTCTCCTGGCTGGAGCAGTAACGTAGCCCCGCAGCACTTGTATAAGACAGAGAGGAGCTGTGGTGTCTAAGCTTTGACAGTCTAGGAATTGGGCTGCCTGTGCCTTTAAGACCCCAGCCCCAGGAACCTGCCCTCTGCTCCGGGGCTGACATGCAGCGTCCTGTGAGCAGAACGAACACAGCCTCTGCGCCCCCCACGCCCCTAGATTAGCGAGCACAGCACGTGGCTCATCCCACGGGGTCACTGTTCCCCCCCCTCCCCCTCCCTAAACGGGGGTTTTGTCCCCCCACGGGGTCTGGCAGCGTCTCCCCCTGGGCTTAACCCCGGCTACCACCCCCACCCCCGATTTTCCCCCCTCAGCCCCTCTCCTGCCGCTACCTACAGTAGCTTGATACCCCCTGGCCAGTAAATTTCTGCCTCCTGCTCAGACCCTGACAGCTCCCCCCCCCGCTGCAATTTGCCCCCTTTGGTCCTTTTAAACCCCTCCAAAGCGCAGGCAGCAAATCGTAAGTAGAAGTAAGGGCAGAGAGAGGGCAGTGGCAACAGCGAAGGTTACTGGGCATGCTCAGTGCACCCAAAGCAGGGAGCGGGGCAGCGTGACCGCTAGGGGCTCCTGTGAGCGGCGGTTACCTCAGAGCCGGGGAGATGGCCGGGGCGAGCGGCCGGGGGGACCCGCTGGCGTTGGAGGAGCCTCCCCTGCCCAGGCCCTCCCAGCCGGAGAGCTGCTTGGCCGACCAGGACAGGCTCGCGCAGGTGGGGGCGGGGAGCGGACGGTTTCCTGCCCGGGGGAAGGCGGTGCCCTGGCTGAGAGACCGGGAGGGTAGGTGAGAGCCGGGGGGAGGGGTGTCTCAGTACCTGGGAGTGGGGGTAAGAGCAGGGTGGGTGAGAGACGGGATGTGTG